ACACACACACACACACACACAACTTTATCTTTTAAAGATTTGTCGACTTCTATAGCTTCTCAAAAAAGATGGGTGAATTCCCATTTCGATGTGATTTCCACGTAATGAGTGTTTATTTTAATAAATTTTCGATAGTTTTAATGCAAACGTCACAAGTTACTACTGACACAGATCAAATAATTAATTAGTTCATTCTTTTTTTTACAAACCGTGTCAATTCAACATTTCACACTCGATTCACACTCGATTCATACAAACTATTCACTTAAAGAAATCACGAGAAATCTATTAATGTATCTACTAATTATTATCCGTTACGTACTTTACAATTACTATCGATTAATTATCCGTTCACTGAAAAATCACGCGAAGAAAGAAACACACTGCGATTTATTAACACCCGTTCACTTGACAATAGCAAACAGTCGACTGATTTTAATATCGAATTTATCACTTAATTATTATCAATCCGTGTCGATTAATCATTCGACGAAAGAAACACGCACAATTTACTACCACACGACGATTTACTGACACACGACGATTTGACACACGAGGCGTTCACTTGCCAATAGCAAGTAGTCGACTGATTTTATTGGTTATGTTTGCAGCGCTGTCGAAACGCGAATATGTGATTAGTTGAAGTCAGTCGACTGCTTGCTATTGCCGAGTGAACGCCTCTGTGTGTCAATAAATCGTCGTATGTTAGTAAATTGCGCGTGGTTTTTTCTTCAAGTGATTTTTCAGTTGACAAATAATTAATCGACACGGATTGATAATAATTAAGTGATAAATTCGATATTAAAATCAGTCGACTGTTTGCTATTGTCGAGTGAACGGGTCGTGTGTTAATAAATCGCAATGTCTCAGCAAACATAGTGACATCAAATGACGTCAAAAACTGGTGATTACTGGTCAAGTGACGTCAGATAACCCTGCCGCAAATTCCCATAGGTATTCCATATGGGACCATGAAGATCCAGTGAAGGACCATGAAGGTTCCATGAAGGACCATAAAGGTCCTGTGAAGGACCATAAAGGTCCTGTGAAGGACCATGAAGGTTCTACGTAAGATCGTAATAGCCCCATATGGGACCGTAACAGTCCCATATAAAAATGTATACATATAGGTAACACACATAGGGCAAGAATGATAATACATAGGACTCATATAGGACAGTATGAATTCGGCATCGGTATGAGATGGGTATGAATATGGTGTGAGTATACTATGGAATGGGATGAATTATT